GGCGGTTGCTCGGACCACCCACACGGCCCGCTGCACTGTATGCTCCACGCTCCTCGGCTTTTATTGCTCACAAAGTAGCATAAACAATTCGCCCAGCTTCCAGCTTCTAATATGCGAGAGGGGGTAGGGGGCGTGGCAACACCTGATGGGGCTAATGTGGAGACGAAGAGACACAAACAGTGACAGGGATTTTATGGACCTGCATGGAGAGTGCATTAAACATGCCTCATCTCGTGCCGTGATGTTGCGGTTGGCGGTGCAGCAGCCTCCCCAGTTTTAGTTCCATTGTTTGTTGTTGTTTAGAGATTTGCTTGTTTGAAATATGGTTTTCCATATTTGTATGGCATTCACAACAAACTTTGTTTGAGTTTAAGGAACTGAGCTACTGAAGAGAGACTTGTCTGGAGGAAGCGGCATTGTATACCGAACTATAATTGAACTAGTCGGAGCATATGCACCACTAAGGGACTCGAACGAGTTTAAGCAAATAAATTTCTTAAAGACTGAGCGAAAAGATGCAATTAGAAGAAGTTTAATGAACCAATTACAAACACAACATATATAAATATATTTGTATGTGTATATTGCCCATTCATGCACACATATGTATATACACCTGAATTCATATACACATAAATATATAACAACATTCATTTATATGCTAATCATACCTACATAAAAACTTACGTATATACATATACCCATACATATAGACATGTACACATACATACATACATATGCATATACATCTGCATTTTCAAGAATTATTTATATACATATATATGCCATTATTATACAAGCCTTACACGCAATCACATAAATAAACAATATAAATAAATAATGTTTAATACAATTTGATTTAATTAAAAAGAAATCATAAACACTCAACCGACAAGGAAACGATCAACCGAAAAATCAGACGCAGGATGACTGATACTGAGTCCTCCATTACAAAGCTTTGCAATCAGGATATATTCATATGTCTCTTTTCCTCTGCCTCTGAGACATTCCGACCGGAGTCCAAAGCATCAAAAGCAATTGGATCAATGGCGAGGAGTAGCAACCGTATGTAATAACCGTTATAATTAAATTTGCGTAGCCAATATAAACAGTATAGGAATTCAGTAAATATCTTAACTAATATTGAAATTAATGAACGACCTTAAAAATTAAATATATATATTTAATTTAAATTTGGGTTCTCTTATTTTGCTCTGCCTGGTTTTCCTATATTCTGTGTGGTCTCAGTGAGCCAAGCGCAGTTGAAGTTGTCGCGGCTCGACGGGCAGTTCCACTCAGGGGCGACAAAGCATTGTTATTGTCATTGTCATTGGCATTAGGTAATGTTTATGTATGTGTGTCGCAATTGTGGGCAACCGCCACGTGTCCTGTGGTGCAAATCAAAATAAACAACTTGGTCCATCTGTCTAGACATGACTTGGCGGCAGCGGGCTGCAGRCAGTTGACCAACCAACCAACCAATTAGAGCCACCTTTCCACTTGACGAACTAGTCAAAATATTGAAGCAATCGATGTCTGCCACGCTGACATGTTGCCACGCTGCCACTTGAGGCAGAGGTTCACACATATTTCACTATGTCCTGCCAACACACACACAACTCAAGTGCAGCCGCGTCCTGTGTCCTGTGTCCTGTGTCTCATGTCCTGTCTGGCCGACAAGTAGTAGCCGGCGCAGGCGTTACTTATAAACAAAGCCACACGCATGATTAGATGATCAGAAGATCGCTTATGCCCTGTGCCACCATGTCCACGGTTTCCAATTGCCCGCCACCGGCGCCAACGAAACCCGAGATTGAACTCAAACGACATCTAATTTAAATGCTGCATGATGCTGTTGGCGGGCTGAGGGAATTTTCGGACAAGTTTGTTGTGCTGCGCGGCTTTGTGACGGATTAGTGGGCTAAAGCTAAAGGTGTTAGTCTTCTCTCCGACTTCTTTTCTATAAGCAAATGTAAGAATCACTCTCTATCTATCTATCTATTTATTTTTATATTTCTGTCTCTGTTTTAATTTGACTCTATTTTTTAAGTTGGGAGAGCAGATTCCATGTGCGCTCTAAAAGCTGCTCCACTCTGCTCTCACTCCCTCTCCCCCGCTCTCTCGCTCTCAAGAGATCAACTTTGACTGTTTGCCTCCAGCTGGAACAGAACTCATTGCCTACCCCAACTTCTGCGCTTTTATAACACGCTCATAGAGCTCTTAGGGTAGACAGTGAATGTAGTGAGACTTTCTCTTTCTTTCTCTCTCTTTCCACGGTCATTCTGATTGCGGGTGAAGGTCAGTAGGGACCTGGGTACATGGGGAATGCGACGGGGTGGTTGCAGCTGAATCGTTTGGCCTCTACGCTTACTTTTGAGCTCTTAAGTGCCTGGCTATTCACTTTGGCCAATGTGCGGTTTTCAATTCATTTCAATTTGGTTTTTTGCTTTTTGTTTGCCGTTGCTCGCTTTTGGTTTTTGATTTTTCCATTTTCCATTTGCTGGTTACCAAATAGTTTCAATTATTATGGGCTATTGGGTATTGGGCCTGGACAAGTACGCGTATTATTAATGTAATAGCGGCTAATTGCGCATTTGTTGGCCCAGTCGAAATGCAAATTAGACCGAAAGCACTTCAGCCAGGAGACTTAAAAGCTTCAATTTGATGGAACACTTGGCCCCAACTGGAATTTATGTCTGCATTTTGCAGCTGTTGAGATTGAGATTGAAGATCAATTGCAACGATTGCAAAGTGGATGCGATTTTGCGTTTAGAAATATAGAAACGACGACCAAAGACCACTTGAGCCCTCGCCCCGTTCAAGGTTCGCCTCAATCTCAAATGATTTACCACAGAACGGCTGTTGCATTTATTTGGCCAATTCGTGCCAATAAACAAAGTATCATTCGCCCAGGCATGTGGCAACAAATAGACTCAAATTAATCAGAGACAGAGAGAAACAGAGAGAGAGAGAGAGAGAGAGAGAGAGAGAGATCCGAATTCGATGGATCGTGTAGAACAATAAAAAAACACACACACACACACATTTGGTAAATATGACAATGTAAACAATAATAAGCCCAATCATCGACATGATCGCAATTCTCGTGCTGCCCGATGCCCGGAGTCTGATGTCCGATGTCCGATGTCCGATGCCCGATGCCCGATGCTCAACCAAATGCGAATTTCTAGCGGAACCCGGACGTCAGAGTCCGAGTTCGTATCAAAATTCCTACAAGAAAATAAAATTTAATTGCCTACAAATTGGCGCGTTGAGTTTTATTGCATTTTAAAAATATATATACCATATAGACACGATCGTGCACTGAGCGAAAACATACTTTACTAAAAAACACTAATATTAGTTCGATTCAAAGCTTGAAAACTTTATAGAAGTTACATTAATTGAGTCAAAGTGCTATATTGTCCTATAAATATTCTATTCATGGATTCTATATAGTGAATTCTATGACCAGCTTTTACAGTAATTTAAAGTACTCATAAATAGCTTGGTTTCATATTAAAACCCATATGTATTTATATTTTTAACCAGACAATAATACTGTATTTATTTATTAGAGCCCAGCTTATTAGCATATTAGCTGATGAAAAAATATTGAAATAGATATTATTATCTGTATTCAATATTTATTTCCATTTTTCGAAAAGCTTCCTGATTTCTTCAAGTGTACTCACCGCCACTAGCTAAGCGTTTCGCATGAAAAGTACAATGGGAGCAACGAAGCATTTGCCGTTGAGGGCAAACCCCTAAAACTAAAACAGCCAGCCCCGCTCTCCCCTCCTTCCCTTCCGATCCTTCACTTGAGAGCCAACTGCTCTGCGTGTGGGTGGCAATTTTTACAGTTAGCCGGCAAACAAATATTTGATTTAGACAAAATGCCCATGATTTATTTACGATTTCCCAACGTTTCGCCTAATTTGTCTGGGAAGTTCATAAAAAACAGTAGTTGGAGATCAGCACAGAAGACAGAGTAGCCCAAAAAGAGTGCCTGACTAAGAGATGCCCTGTAACTAAATATTCAATTCAATATAACAATTGTGAATATTCTGATCATGATTTTAATGATTTATTTTTTAATAATACTAAAGTTATATCTATATTTAAACTTATTGAATTTGCTATCAATAATATTCGCCAAAGCAAAAATTCAAATTTAATTTTTTTAATGCTAATGAAATCTCTTTTTCAGATTAACTTTCGACTGCTTATCACATTAAGAGCGCGAAAGAGTAAGGAGAGCTCTCAAGCTCTCGCAAAAGTAAACAAAGTCTGTTTCATTAGCTTTGTTATCAGTTCGGCCGTCGGTGCAAGACTTATAATAAAATGTATACATACATTTGTTTTGCGAATTAGTTGTATTGGAGCCAGCGTTGACGTAGCAAGTGGAACAGCGGAAAGCGAAAAATGGTAAAAAGCATGGATACCGGTTTTTCAATAACTTTCTATTAATCGATTTTGTCTAGGTCAACATATATAATATATTCTACTCAATCAAATAAGAGTAGTTGTTGACAGATCAAGAAACAGGCCCTCTATATATACAAGCATATATGTGTATATATTAGATAGATAATATGTATAACATTTTGTTATATGAAACACCTAATTGGATTCCTAAGCTAATTAAATATGTGTAGACAGTTGGTTTCTTTTGTGTTCGCGAATGAATGAAACCGGCTGTAGGTGGCTTAGCCATAAAATATATTGTCTTTATCTGGTGCACCCCAGAGAAACAGAAATAGAGTTGAAATTTAAAAGTTACCTCATTCATTCATCCACCCGTCCACCTATTCGCATGTTGTTTCTTACAAACAGAAGATAATGGCTCTGAAATTTGTAAGTATTCAAACGTTCTTTCTTTCAGCTGTCCTTTAAGCTTTACATCAAGTCATCAATAATGAAAATGACATCAGGGTATCTCTTAGTCGAGCAATCTCAGCATATTGAATTGACTCTTTTCTATTTTTCAGACAACAAGATGGGCTCTAGGAGTTTTCCTCCTAGCTCTGCTCGCCGCTCAACAATGTCCATCTGCAGCTGGTGCGAGGATCCTGGCTGCGTTTTTCTATCCCTGCAAGAGTCATTTCATGATGACAAATGCTGTCATACGAGAGCTGGTTAAGCGTGGTCATGAGGTAAGCTGGCAAATCAATCAAAATATATATGTGAATTTCCAAATCTAACAACAGTTTACTACAGGTCACCTTTATCACGCCCTTCTCCTTGGCCAGCGAGAACTTGGGCTCCAATTACAAAGAGATTGTGCTGCCCCATTATGATTTCTGGACAGAAAGTATGTCACAGTGATAGACGAAACATCACTCTAATCTTATCTCTGTCTGCTTCACAGTGAAGCGAATGTCAAATAGGGAGATTATCTTGGATATGGCCGATCTGTCGACACTCAAATTTGTACGCATGCTGCATGTGATGGGCGTGCAAAGCACGGACTTTGCCTTCGAGCAGCCGGAGATCAAAGCCCTGATCAATGCCAAGAACAAGGTGGGCAAATACGACCTGCTCATCGCCGAGCAGTTTTACAACGAGGGCGCTCTCATACTGGGCCATCTCTATCAGACACCCACGATCACGCTCTCCTCGTTTGGCAACACCAACTACTTCTCCGAAATGGTGGGCATCATTACGCCCTGGTCATATAACCCGCACAGCTTTATATCGTCCACCACCCGGATGAACCTATGGGAGCGAGCCGTGAACGTCTTCGTCTGCGGAATGGAGCACTTGATGCGCACATTCCTCTACTATCCCAGCCACGATGCAGTGCTAAGGAAACACTTCTCGGGACTGCTCGACGTGGTGCCCACGACCAAGCAATTGGAGCGCAATATATCGGCCATCCTGATGAACAACTATATGCCTTTGGATGCTCCCAGGCCCATCTCCTTCAATATGATATCCGTGGGTGGACTGCACATACAGCCACCCAAAGCCTTACCCGTGCATCTCCAGAAGTTCCTGGACGAGGCAAAACATGGCGCCATCTACTTTAGTCTGGGTAAGCAGCGAAGTGACCGAGACGGACAGCGGAACTAACGCAAGGACATAGGACCTTGCTCTCCCTAATCGCATCCTTACATTTCAGGCACTCAGGTGCGCAGCGCAGATCTACCTGCAGAGAAGCTGAAAGTCTTCTTGGATGCCTTCCGCAGCCTGAAGCAGCGTGTCCTGTGGAAGTTTGAGGAGGACAGCTTCGCTGAGCTGCCAGCGAATGTGATGATACAGAAGTGGCTGCCTCAGGCCGATATATTGGCCCATCCCAATGTGAAGGTGTTCATAGCACATGGCGGGCTCTTCGGCATGCAAGAGGCGCTGCACTATGGAGTGCCCGTTCTGGGCATGCCCGTCTATTGTGACCAACACTTCAACATCAACCAGGGCAAGGCCAATGGCTATGCCATAGGCCTCGACTATCGCACAATCACGACGGAGCAGTTGCGCTCCGCGCTGCTCGAGCTGCTCGAGAATCCAAAGTATCGGGACACCATGAAGCGATCGTCTCGCATTTTCCGCCAACGTCCACTGGGCGCCATGGACACGGCCATGTTTTGGATCGACTATGTCATCGAGCACCGCGGCGCGCCCCACATGGTGTCAGCCGGCATGGATCTAGCCTGGTATCAGTTCTACCTGCTCGACATAGTGGCCATCGCTGCGGCTGCCCTTCTCCTGCCCATATTGATTTTATGTGTCTGCCTACGCAATTCTAAGTTGAAGCCAAAAACTAAGCGTAAGCAGCATTAGAAATAAGTCAAAGCAAAATGGCTTTTAATTAAAATAAAATTAATAAAACAAAATTTTGAATTTCTTTTGTGAATTCTAACCGATTTACATTTTGATTGATTCGTTCAACTGGATTTGATCTTTCATTCATTACCTTTCAATTTCTTCAAGGTAAACAAATTTAATTTAATTTACATAAAATTGTAATCTTTTATATAATTTGTATTATATTA